TGCCAGTTCTCTAGCAGTCTGGATGCAAAGAATTTCTGTAATCTCTTTGGTATGAACAACGCACATTGATGGCACAATATTCTCGGACTGGAGTGAGATCATGAGCTACATTTCTCCCTCTCTTGATAAGGACCTTATGGAAGCTCCCATAGAAAATCTTCTTCACTTCCTGCTGGTCAAAGGAGACTTCCTGTAAATCAGCCTTGTAGTCATGATTGAAATAGGTCAAGGATTTCTTACTGGCTGCAGGGAAAATAGGACAAATAACAACTTAGAATTAAAAGAGAATTTGATTTCACCCACATACTGAACAATAACAAATGAATAGGCTTAAACATGGTGAAAGACTTCACAAGCAAGTACTTCTAAACAGTGAAAAAGAAAAATAACATGCAGAAATAAAGAATATGTTATAGATTAAATAAAGATGAAAACACACATTTTACTGCACTGAAAAGCATTTAAAGTGCTATGCTGGCAGCAGCAGCAAAGCTTCCCAATGACTGCTGATGTATAACAAAAACATCAAAATAACAAGCTGTCCAATTCAATAAAGAAATCAGTTCTGCTGCTCCCAGAGATGTATAGAAATACCTGAATTCAATCTATTCATCATGAAACCTTACAGTCAAGGATAACACCAAGCAGGGGCTGGAAGTCCTCGTCTGTTATTTGCCACACTGCAAAGGGCTCCTTGGAGGTGTCGGGGAGGAGGCGGAGGAGGAAGATGATGGTGTGCTCAGGTGGGACAGCAAAGAGGTGCACGTCACTGCAACGAGACAAGCCAAGCAAGCGTCAGGGGCTTATGGTGATGAAGGTCAGCAAGAAACAACCTTCTGCCACACCAGGTTTGCTTGTAGGGTGTCTCGGGTATAATGGCCTAGAGAAAATCAACCTGTGGGAACAAAACACAGGGCCAAATTCTCTCCTGGCACAAGTCATGGCAGTGGAACAAGACACATCAGGAGAGAGCCTGCCCTTATTTTGAGCACTTTTCTCACGTTTCTATAGTCTGTTGAATCCTGGGCGTTCTCTGTGAGGCCCTCGAAGGACCTCCTCCTTGTGCAGAGATGCTGTGTGGTCTCTGGTCCGTTTGCCCCCAGATCTCCTCATCAAGAAAGAGAAAGGATGATCATGTTGAAGGGGGTAAATCATTAAGCTTTAGCAGAAACTTGCAGGAGTGTTGTTCATGGAGAAGCACAGTAGGCACAGAAAGCCCAGATCCTCCCCATGCCCCAGCTGCAAAACTTGGGCTCAGCTCTGGAACTCACGAACATGCACCAAAAGCTGTGACCCACTGCTGGCAGAACAAGCTCCCTCCCAGCTGTGTGCCAAACTTGTTAGAAAGCACCAGGCAGAAGCAGTAATTAGAGGATACAGGGCAACGAGGAAGGTCAAATTGGTTATGCCTGAAATGCATTGGTAATCTGAAACAGCACACATTTGCATGGGCATATACACAACTCATCAAGCATCTTTTTCATGGCTGATTCATAAATAATGTCAAGTTCTTTTTGCTCTCTGTTCCTGAAGAAGTGATGTCCTTGGAAAGGCATAAGTACTAGCTGAACAAAAGGATCAGGCATAATTTTCTGAGTATTTAGACCAAAATGCTCTCTGAATTTCCCCGACTTTGTTTACTCTAAGCTTTGCTTCTGTAACTATGATTAAATTTAGCCACTGCCTCAGTAATTAGCCTTAACATAAAGTAGCGCTGCATGTCAAGAGTCAAATCATTCCCTATTTATAATTATATATAAAAAAATAACAACAGAGATCACTGGAGCTGCCTGGGCCACAAGCTGGCCCAGTGCAACTTGTGGGAGCTTGAGATGAAGCCTACTGTGCAACAAATGGGGTAATGTCACAACCTGAAGTCAATGGTTAATCCTTCTTATCAATAAAGACCAACCTGCTGAGTGAGAGCAGCTATGAGCTGAACATTTTTTTTTAAAAAGCAAGGGTTTGTCTCCAAACCAGAGATGCTGGGAGAAGACATCAAAGATGCGAATGTGACCTCAAACTTCCATCTCTGAATTATCTATATTTATAAACAGATCACGTAAAGAATAGCATATTATCAACATATGACATAATCCTTATGTCCATTCAAGCCTGTTGGTGGGTGGTAACTAACACTGCTGGAAAAAGTGATTCTGTAATAAGTAACATTCTCACAGGCTTAAGATTTTGGGCCATGTCAAAAATTAAAAAAAAAAAAAAAAAAAGAGCCCTATTGTGTCCTATTGACTTCTGCATGATGCATTCCATATTCTGATTCATCCGGAGGCAAGCCAGGGGTTAATTTCTTAATACATGAAGGAAACAGCCTCTGGCATTCTTTTCTGTCCATCTATGGTTTAATTTCTCAAACTACGACAGACTCATGGAGTTTACCGACTCATTCTCTGTGTGATTTCATCTTGAAGTCGCTAATGGGACTTAATCATGCATACACGAATCAGTGATCTTTCTTTGCTGTGAGCACAGTTAATGTGGATGCTTCAGACAGATCATCAACATGATGCTGACATCAGCTAAGTTTCTCAATTACCTGGTTCTCTGGGTGAGCTGAGTATCTTTGAACAGAGTGTAGGTCCGGGAGCCGCTGAATACAAAAGGGTCCATAGCTACTCCTTTAAGGGAAGCATATTCCTTTTCTACCAATCCAAAAACTTCCATCATATCAAATCCTGGGAGAAAAAAAAAATACATGAGGGTTTCACCCTTTTGACTTAGGAGAGGTAATCACTGATCCAGTTCCTTTGAGATCTTGAGAAAACTAAATGGATTGTGGCAATGCAAAGAATCAGTTGAACCATTTTTAATCTGGGCTTCTCAGCACAGAATAATTCTGTGAAGGGGCTGGGAGGCAGCATGAGCAGCAAGTCAGGCAACACTGGTAGAGTTATTTTGTGATGAACAGAGAGAAAAACAAATAAAATCTTTCATAAAGGAAATTCAACCGTTGTATCACAGCTGAAAGGAGGTATTTCTGTCTGCATATTTGTCAGGAAGGCAACGTGGCTGCAGAACTTGCACAATTAGTTAGACTGGAGCAGTGAGGAGAAGAGCAAGAAGCACAGGCTGTACAAACTCACTGGAAACCTGCAGCATATACTACCAGTTGTAGCCAAGGAAAACAGCATAGTCCTGCACACTCTGCATACATTTGCTGTAATCACATCTCCTCTTGTGGAAGGCTACACTGCAGACACAGACTTTCATAGTGTTGTTTTTAAGTCTCCAGATTGAAAAACAAACGAGAAAAGTTACTCACAATTTTCCCTTTTCACGTTGATGCAAAAATATTATCTTCAAAAGACATGGCATCAGTCCCATAATTGCTAGCATGGAGGGAAATTATCTCTGCTCTGAAATGCCTCATACGCAAAAGTCATAAAAATCAGGAAAGAACTTCAAAATATGAGCATTTCCATTTCTCTCTATTTTCATGAAATACCCAGCAGTGACCTGCCTTACACAGTCTACAGAGATTCTCCCCTGACATCTTTGACATCGCCTCTCTAGCTCATGCAGCTTCATCTCACTTTCCCAGCTCGTCATTAAAGCTCTGAGTCATTTTCTCATTTCTCATTTCGGTTTCTTTTTTTATTTTTTTTTTTCAGTAAGACAAGATCTTGCAATTGGGATTCTTTTTTTAGTTTATCTGAATTTGCAGCAGGCTGGAATGAGGGAGATATCTGGTTCTTTAGAAACAGGAAGGGCTACAACTTCATTATAACACAGTCCTTTCAGTTACCCCTTCCCCAGTTACCATCTTCAGTAGTGCCTTGGCTCGGGATGCTGTTTTGGACAGCGGCTGCTATAAGATTTTTCATTTGTTCATTTAGTTGTTTTTCATTTCCCAATAACGCTAGGGAGTTTGTCAAAAGAAATTACCTGCCGAGAGCTATTTATTTGTGATGTGTGGGTCCTGGCACTGAAACTACATTAAAATGTACATTCAATACAGTAATATGAAGACTGAAAGCAAGGCATAAGTCACAGCTATATTCATGTTGGGAAGCAGCCATATAATGGATGCAGGAAGTTGATAAAGAAATGGGCTAAAGAGAAGGCAATGTTTATTGTGGCTTTGCAATTCAGCTGCTTCAAACAGCACCCAGGAAATGTCCAAGCATGGAAAATCTGAAAATAACTTTGTTTTGAGAAGACTGTCCTGAGGAATTATAATCCTCAGGCAATCTCACATATAGCCTGATTAAACCATTTGCCAGAGGCCTTAAATCCAGCCATAAGGGTGACATATGGAAGGCAGACTGCTGCCTTTCCCCTCCGATGGACTCACGGAGATGGAACAGACTCCACTTCAGGGGAGAAATAGAAGATGACACTGCTGTGAGAAGGACTGTTCGCACCCGAGCTGCTGAGAAGGGACATAGGTGCTGAGCCACGACCTTCTCCCTGGCCTGGCAGCTGCAGTGGTGACAGCAAAGCAAGGCCTGGGGGAGAAACCACCAGGAACCTTCGCCTAAAAAAATGCCCAGCTGGAGGGTGGCAATACTCTGAACCCCAAAGGTTTTGCAGATACAACAGAATATTTGGTCGTGGAAGTTCTTGCAGTGCTGGAAAAAACAACCAAGACAGGCGGAAAGACATCACACCCAGAGGAGCTTGTGACCTGGCCACTACCCAGAAATGGGGGAGATTCTGGTAACTTGGACATCCGTGTCCTGCAACTGCTGCAGCTTCATCCCCAGGGGCTTCTTTTGCTTTCACTCAATCTGGACTGATCCCACTGTACATTTAACATTATGTCTTCACTGGATCAAGGAAATGAGAATGCTGTCCCATGCCTCAACAGAGTCATTCTCTTTCTTTCACCTAACGAATAATCATTCAGATGAAATAAAGTTCTTCCAACAGGAAGAGAGACCCACAGGTCACAGCCCAAACCCAGACAGGAAGAGCAGTCAGTCTGGATACAGGGGGGGACAATTCTCCCTCAAAGCAATAATGTAGCCCATGTCTTACATATGCTATGGATATACTCTAACCTTTCAGGTTTGGATCAGTATCTGTCTCTATTTCTGTCCCTCAGCTTGCAAGGTCTTCTTTGTCAGCATTTGACAGGTCTCAGGTTTTACCTGATGAGGGATATTTTCCTATTACAGTTCTCAGACTTCGGCAGGACTGGAAAACCACCTCCCCTCTGCTCAGACGTTGCGTATTTTGGAAGAAACAAGATCAGAAAGTGCTTTCACATTCACAACCCAGCACTCTAGCAGTGTGACAGGATACCGTACCTCGTACCGAGCCTTCAGGAGAGCTGATGATGGGGCAGGCTGCAAGAAGAAAATAGAAGAGCATCATATTCGGCATGTTTACTCATAGACATCTAAATGCTACTTTTAAAAAGCACTACTTTTACTGAAACAAGCACCTCCGTGATGCTGCAAAACACAATAAAATATCTGCAGTCGCAATTTTTGTATCTGAACTTCGTTTTAGCAAAAATACATATCTCAGCCTCATTTTCAAAGAGTATTATAATAGGGAATAGGGAACAAATAGCATAACAATGTCACTTTTCCTGGAAAGGGGGGCAACCCAGTGCTGCATATATGGCTTTCTGAAATCATACACTCCAATTACATGTATCCATGTAACCTGCAAAATCTGTGCCCTTCCTTATTCTTCTGAAGACATCATGTCTGCATCGCTTGGCCTTTCAGCTTTCTAAGCAAAGCTGAAGAGTTTGGGAAACTTTTGCAGTTCTCCTTTCAGAAGCTCTCTTGTTGAACCCTCTAACATGCCACAGAGCAGAAATCTCAAATACATTAGGGAGAAAAGTCTATCAACTACGGCACCTTGGTGAAGATTTGCTTATGGACCCTTTCCAATTAAGGTGTTCAGGTAACAGTGTTCTGGTAAACAGGACACGACTGCAATTTTCAATTATCTGCTGCTGTTTAAATCCCACGCCATGATTGCCAGATGGAGCTGGGACAAAGGGAATGCTTGATGCAAAGTGAGAAACGTCCCTGAAAATCAAGGACACTTGGTAAGACGGGCTATTTCATAAATGATTTTCTAGGTCACAGTATAATGTAATCTCGCAGATCATTATATTAAGGCTTCACTGTAATCCTTTTATTTCTATTACTACGTCATATGCCACTTCATACCTCATCAGAAAAGGAGCTCTTCTAACTAAATTCTGCAAAAGGTTTCTGCAAAAGTTATGACATTCTACAGGGTGGCACCAAACTTGTGGGATGACAGATTTCTACTCAAAAGTTCACATGACTTTTCAACTGTGGCCTGAACACTTGCAGGTTCTGTCAATAAATCCCTGGAAATTTAACCTGCTACATTCTCAGTTTGGTACTAACTACAGTTTCCTCAGCTGATCTGCTTCACTCTTATCTACTTCATTAAAGGAAGCCAATAAGGCTTCCCTCAATAAGTTTTTAAAGCTGAAGTTGTATTTAGAATAATTTCAAATAGATGGAAAAGGACATTATTGCAACAGTATCTATATTCTAATATTTGCTTCTTATCAGCTCTTTATAACCTTGTTAATTCAACATTTCTCACTAATCCACTTGGTAGTTTGCTTTGTATCAGCTGCAAGAACATATGCTCATTAAATTTAATAAGATATTTTACACAGAACTTTAATTTAAAATATGCCATCATTCTCTTTGTTCCATTTTTGGCCAAGTTGTACAGAAATCCTTTAAAAACACTCTCAGCCTCTTCACTAAATGAGTCTGATTTTAAGATGTTGTTGCATGGTTTCAGATTTTTCCTTGGACACATTCACAGTCCCCAGAGGCATCTGTCAAGAAACAAACAGCCACTCCTGCCTGCCTTGCAAGGTCTAAGCAATGTGATTTGTTATTGGAAAAACTAAGCAGTACTTTACAGCAGGTGATTTACCCTCTGCTTTAGGTGGAACAAATCCTCGTATGGAAGGGTGCTTGGACAATACAGGAGCTGAAAGAGAAAGCAAAGCATGAGAGCTCTGTTATTCAGCACTGTGATAGCTCAAGGTCTGCATGGTTGCTGGCTCTTCTCTGTTATCCTGGAATTGCATCGAAGCCAACAGTGCCCGGGAGGAGTGCAGGGGTTGGGCAGGATTTCATTTTCGGAGTTTTTAGTCTGCGCTGATCAGCAAAACCCTGGCTGTAGCCACTGGCCAGTGCAAGCAATGACACCCCCGTGAACCCTGCCCGGGGACCTGTGGGTGGCAGGTCACCAGCAGCACGTTGGTGACAAGCGATTCACTCACCCGTTCGGCCTGTTGTGGACCTGCTTTCGCTCTCGCCCGTGTTGTGGACGGCAGAAACGGTCACCTTGTAGGCTCGGTCGGGCAGCAGGGACTGCAGGGTGACACTGCTGCTTTTGCCAGAAGCCATTACCTACATCAGGGTGGAAAGAGAGCCCAGTGTTGATGCAGACTTTGCTCTGGAAACCTTATGGACACCTTGGGGTCACACGAAGATGCAAGACCTGAGACATCAGGGCTGAGGATGGCAAAAGCACCTAGTGCAGGCAACAGCAAGAGCAAACCAAGGAAGTCTGGCTATTCACTGACATCAGACTGTGCCCAGGGGAATAGTATTGCCCTGTGTGAGTACCTTGATCATCTCCACATAGACATTTTGATGAGGGTTGAAAATTTCTTAGCCCATAGCAACTAGACTGGGCCTGGGTACAAAATCCCAAGTTTTGAGTGGTTAGTGCTTGACCATCCCAAGTCAGAGGGAAGTGGATTTATTTCCCACCCCTCTGTCTGTGAATATTTCCCACTGTGATTCAGGGAGAAGAGAAAGCTGCAACAGCAGCAGCTCTGGTAGATGTAAATACTTGATCAGGAAAGAAGCCTGGAGCACTTCAGCTCTCTGCAGAACTGGGGTCCCTTTCCAGTCCAAAAACTGCCACAAAGCAGCATGCTGGCAAGTCATGGGAATAGGGTTGTTTTTGTATTCCTGCAAACCAGCTATCCCTAAGGTAAATCCCACTGGGATGAGCAGAGTTCCTCTAAATGTGAAATTGTCCCCATGCCCCCCTACTCCACAGCCTGTCAACTGTAAAGGAGCTGGAGACCTACTGTTTGCTGAGCGCGGTTATCAGAAACAGGGCTGTAGATGATTCTGTAGTGCTGGATGCGGCCATCGGGAGGGTCCCAGTGGACCTGGAGGCTGGTGGGCGTCTCCGAGTCAATGAAGAGGTTGGTGGGAGGATCCCGGGAATCTGCAGTGGGGATTAAAGGTGAGCCAGGGAAAAAGCAGAGAGCAATGTCTAAGCTGAGCCATCAACACGGACTTTCAGACCTATTGCTGATTACACTTCAAAATTTATAATATTCTCCAGTTAATACTGTGTTTGCTTTTGTCCTTCTGTTTTACAGCTATCCTAAAATAAGGCAGAGCAGCCAGCACAAACAGTTTTGTCCACCTCTTCTCAGCCCAACACTCGGCAGCCTTGGGGGTGCATTGCATACAGTGCCCAAGTTGCCTCTTTCTGGCACCGAACCCTGCTGTAGAGATGCATCCTAAACAGGTAAGCAGATAAGCAAGAAAAAGATCTCCCAGAGAGTATAAGTGGGAAATTGTTTTTATTTAGATGTTTTTCTTTCCCTGGGGTCCTGCTGTAGCAAACTGGATCTAGCAACAAAAAGGCTGTACAGGAGTAATGATTTTGACCAGGAGCTAAGAGCCATTAAGTGAATGCCATAGGGGCCTAACCTGAGCAACTACTGAAACAAGGGACTTGAAGTCGGTTACTCCAAGTTGAGGAGCATTTCCAGTCTCTTGTTACACATAAAGGCAGGGGTCTGGCCTTCAATACAAGCTAGTGTGAAAAAATGAGAAATTATGGACAAAGAAAAGGAAGCCTTTGACTCATAAGAGACTAAATGTGGTGGGTGAGCCCTAACAACTGCCAGGAACACAAATTCAGGCTGTGAGATTTCTTCTCTGTAGTTTTACTGTAATGCAAACAAGCTCTTCTGCCCACCCGGCAGAGTCTGAGGTGACCTTCAAGTCCCTGCTGAATGAAGATTACTTGCATCTTCATTGATCCTCCTTCCTTTTCCTGGATAAAATGAGCTTAGATGTACTGAAGCTGAACCAAGTTTCCTGGCAGCTGAATCAAGCTGGATGCCATTGCAGTGCATCATCACAAGATAAAGTGGAGCAGAAAGCAAGTGTGGAAGGAAAAGTCACTTCAGTAGCACTATTACTTAGTACTCTGCCATACCCCTGCATATTTGCTCTCTGTACTGGCTATTTTATTCAGCTGTTATAAAAGCCAGACACTGTTTAAGTGAACAAAAGGGGTAGTTAGGGGAAGTCTTCCAAGTCAGGTTTATTCTGGAAGCCCTCAGGCTTGGCACAATTTGATGGCATGGATTTGACAGCCAGGGGAAAGGTCACTTTTCTGGGCTGTCCAAGAGGAAAGAAGCATCCCGTACACAGGGGACACCATCTGTGCCTTCCATTACCTCTTGAACCTCTCCTCTCTACTCCTCCGCAACAGGAAACTCAAGCTCCAACTAGTAAAAGAACTACTTTTCAAATAAGAACAAAGCCCTAGAACCCACACCATTCAAGCACTCATCTGTAATTATTATATAGATCATAATTTTGCATTCATTGTCATGGGTTGAAGCCTCTTCCTCACATTTCAACTCCTTTCATATAGCCTACAGAGAAGACAACACGTAGGAAGCTAAAGGAGTTGAAGACATTTATCAGTGCCAGGTTGGAGGCTGCTGCTCACATAACTTAGCAAGAGGAATTGGATACATAAGCACTGCATAGTCTATAAACTACAAGAGACCTGCAGCATGGGAATCTTTCTCCAACTTTGGTTCCTTTTCCAGACAAAGACTGAGTTCCTAAGTACTTTGGAAATAAATCAATCCATAATTTTGAAAAAAATAAAAGAAAAATCTGCCTGCTAAGAAAAAGAGGTACCTTAGGCTAATCCTACAGAACAACACATTGTAAAGATGGATGGGTTTTAGGAAGAGAGACGACATTTCTGCTGATGGGGCCTGTTTTCTGGTGAGGTTTCTGCAGCATCCTTTTAGTGTAAATCACTTGACCTTGAAATGGGATGTTTCACAAGGTGCAAGAGGAAAAGTAGTCCTGAGTAAAAGAAACTTGGAGTTCTCACCTCACCCCCAAGGGAGGAATACAGTTCTGCTTCACAAAACCAGCATACAAAGAACATCACTCTGACTTGGCTTATTTTTTCCTTAACCTTCAAGAAAACTGTATTCAGGGAAGAATGAAGGACAGAGACATAAGCATGT